TGGCGCTCACGTGACCGCTGTTTTGGTGCCCCACGTGGCGGGAGTCACGCGCTCGCACACGTGACCGGGCGGCACGGCGGCATGGCGCGGGGGTAATGGGCACGGAGCGGGGCGGCCCGGCCCCGGGGGCACAGGGACACGGGGGCACTCCCCGGTGGGGGGAGGTAACGGGGCGGGGGTGCTTTCCGGACGCGGGGGCCATGGGGACCGCGGGGGTGCGACGGGACTGCCGGGTGACGGGGACTCAGGGTGTCCGACAAGACTCCCTGGTGGTGGGAGGAACGGGGACCGGAGGGTCAGGCGCGGTTCCCCGGTGATGAGGGCTCGCGGGGCAGGTGGGGTTCCCCAGTGACAGGGCCAGACGGGCTCCCCGGTGGTGGGACTCGGGGATCTCCGGCGGGGCTGCCCAGACCCGGGGTGGGGGGTTGTCAGACGGGTCACGGGGGCTCGGCGGAATCCGGCGGGGCTCCCTGGGGACGGGGACTCGTGGCTCAGTCCCCGGTCAGTCCCGGTTCCCCACTGCTGTGCCTGTGCTCCCCTGAGCCCGTTGCAGGTGTTGGGGGATCCCCGCCGTGCTGGCGCTGTGTGCGGCCGCCTGGAGCTGCGCCCTGGGGCTGGCGCTGGAGCGGGACCAGCCTTTCCGGTAGGTCCGGGGCTGTGGGCCGGGCCAGGCCAGGCTGGGGTGCCGGTGCTGGCCCCGCTCACCGCCCACCCTGCAGCGTTCCTCCTGGCTGGGCCCATGCTGGCCGTGTGGATCCTGGACACCCGCTGCAGCTGACCTTCGCCCTGCGGCAGCGTGGCACTGCCCACCTTGCCTGCCTCGTCGAGGCTGTCTCAGACCCTCAGTCCCCGCGATACGGTAACAGCCACATCCCTGAGGCCCCATGACCCCCGGGGCCTATGAGGGGATCTAACCCCTCTGTGCCTCCCAGGGCAGTACCTGTCCCTGGAGCAGGTGAGGGACTTGGTCCAGCCTTCCCCATCCACACTGATGACAGTTCTGAAATGGCTGCAAGGCCATGGTGTAGAGGACTGCCAGAGTGTCATCACCCTTGACTTTCTGGAGTGTTACCTGCCTGCAAGGTGAGCCCTAAGAGCTGGAACTGGCTCTGGTGACCCTGTGGTGGCTGCCCCTGTGTCTCACTACTGTCCCATTCTGTGGTGGCTGTTCTCGTGTCCTAGTCCAGTCCCACTCCGTAGTGGCTGTCCCTCATTCCTGGCCCTATCCTGTCCTTTGATGGTTGTCCCTTTGTGCTAGTCCTGTGCCATCCCACAGTGGCTGTCCCTGTGTTTGCAGTATGGCCGAGCGCCTGCTCCCCGGGGCCGAGTTTCACCGGTACGTGCAGGGCCAGCGCAGCCTGGTGCGGTCCCCACTGCCCTACACTGTCCCTGCAGAGCTCGCAGAGCACCTGGACTTCGGTACGTCCCACCTGGGGGAGGTGAGGCTGCGGAGCTCAGGTGCAGCTGCTTCTGGGGGGACAAACCTCCCTCCTGCAGATCCCTGTTACATGGGATCCAGTGACAATCCTATGAAAAGTGCAAGGGGTGCCAAGCTGAGGCCGTGGCTCAGCTGTGGGAAGGCTGAGGAGGCTCTTCCTCTGGGCTGGGGCTGCAGGGCTGGGCTCTTTCAAGCCCTGCTATTGGCCTGCCCATGTAGACATGGGGCTGGTGATGGAGAGCCTGAGGGCTCTGTCCTGCCTTCCCGGGGCTCTGTGCCCTGATGACTTCTCCCATCCCACTGGGCTCTGCTGCAGTGGGTGGGATGCACCGGTTCCCCAAGGAGCACAAGGCAGTCAGCAGAGCCAGGGCCAGGAAGGACCCACAGTTGGCAAGAGCATCATTCCACCTGGGTGTGACACCGGCCATCTTGCGCCAGAGATACAACATGACAGGGGGGGACGTGGGACTCCTGCCCAACAACAGCCAGGCCTGTGCACAGGTAACAACTGGAGGCCTGTGTGCCGTGGCAGTCCTAGGGATTGGTGCTGTTCGGGGAATCTTGGAACAGCTGGGTGTCCCTCGGCTGCTGGGAGTACCTGGTGTACCTGTGCTGGACAATTTTCTAGGTCAGCATCAACTGTTCCGTTGTTTTTTCAAGAGAAGACAACGTGTTCCTCTGTGTTCCACAGTTTCTTGAGCAGTACTTCCACCAAGCTGACCTGGCAGAGTTCATGCAGCTCTTTGGCAGTGGCTTTGCCCACCGCACGCAGGTGGACCGGGTGGTGGGGCACCAGGGCCATGGCAAAGCTGGGCTGGAGGCTAGCCTGGACGTGGAGTACATCATGAGCACAGGTGCCAACATCTCCACCTGGGTCTTCAGCAATGCAGGTACTGGGGAAGAGCCCCAGGGGGGAGGGGGGAGTGCTTGGAGGGGTGAGGAGAGTGCCTGGAGCAGGGAAGGGAGCACTTGGAGGTGTGAGGGGAGGGGATTGGTTGGAGGAGTGAGGGGAGAGCTTGCAGAACTGTGCAGACAGCTGGCTGTAGTACAGCCCCAGGTGCTTTCCTAACTGCTGTGGGAGTGAACTCTGTGTGCTCCCCAAGTCAGAGCTGGCATCGAATTCCCAGCTCCTAGGGGACATCGCTCCTGGTTTGTGTTGTGGCTTTGAACCGTGTGAACCTTCAATGTCCAGAGTATCCTGAAGCAGGGATTTCATTGCTGGCACCATGTGGAGCAGCTGTCCTGCTCAGCTTCCATGAAGGAGGGCACAGCCTTCCTCCCATGGGGTTTTCCAGCCTTGCTGGAGCTGAGCTCCCACCCACGAGTCTCCCAGTGGAGCAGATGAGGGAGAGTGAGGGAATTTGGGAAAACAAATTGCTAAACAGCCTGCACAAATGTGAACACAGTGCTTGGGGCAGTGTCTGTGTCCCAGATTGGGAACTGGCTGAGCAGGTGAGTGCCACAGGGACAATGGCCCTGTCCCTGATGGTGTCAGTGACAGCAGCCCAGCACTGCCCTTCCCTTCGCCCCCACACAGTTACTGGTGTGGGAAGTGACATGGGCAACCAAGAGTGAGTGGGGGTGGCTGGGGCTCTGCTCCCCTCCCAGTGGAGAGGGCTGGAGGGCAGGGAGGGACCTGGGCAGGTGCAGGTGGAATGTGTGGAGGTGGCACATCCACCGCTCTGCTGGGACCTGTTGCCAGAGGAGGAGCTGAGGTCCCGCTGGGTCCACAGGTGCCCACATGGCTGCAGCCCTGGAGCAGAGTCTTGGAGAGGGGTGTGAGTGTAGCTCCCTGTCCTGGGGTAAGGATGACCCTCTTGCCAACCCCGTGGGCTGAGCTGAATCTTGGTGCAATGTAAGGAGCCCTGAGATGAGCTCATGGAGCTCTGGGCTGGATGTGCTGTGACTCTATGGCTCACAAGAAGGAGCCCCTGGGGCTGTACTGCATAGGAGGGTGCTGGGTCTGATGAGACGGGACTCCTCGCGCTGTCCCCTGTCCCTGGTGTTGGAGGAGCTATCCCTTGTGTCCCTTCCCCAATGTCCTTGCAGGGCGCCACGAGAGCCAGGAGCCCTTTCTGGCCTGGCTGCTGCTGCTCAGCAACATGTCAGCACTGCCCTGGGTGCACTCAGTGAGCTACGGGGATGACGAGGACAGCCTGTCCCTTGCCTACATGGAGCGCGTCAACACCGAGTTCATGAAGGCGGCGGCCCGCGGCCTCACCATCCTGTTTGCCTCAGGTACGGCCAAGGCCTGGCAAGGCAGAGCCTGAGCACCAAGTGGGGCTGTGGGAGGGGTGGCTGGGATGCCATGGTCACATGCCATCTGTTGGTGTGCAGTGGTCACCTGTCATCTGTCTGTGTTGGCAGGTGATGACGGTGCTGGGTGTCGGCGGGTGCACAGTGGGAACCACACGTTCCGGCCCAGCTTCCCGGCCTCCAGGTGAGTGAGGGCGGGAGCTGGGTGTGAGGGGTCAACACAGACCTGCAGGACACTGCCAGCCCTGTCCCTGCTGGCATCTGAGCCCCTGGAGGGTCATCTGAGGGTCCTCACCACCATGCTTCCAGACCCCAGAGCTGCAGTCTGTGCAGCTCTTGGGGGTTTGTTCGGTTTGTGGGGCAAGGTTATATGGTGGCAGAAGGGGCTGTTGGTAGCTGTGTGCCCAGCTGCAGTGTCCCCCTGTTTCCCCAGCCCCTATGTCACTACTGTGGGTGGCACGTCCTTCAAGAACCCCTTCCTGGTGACAGAGGAGGTGACGGATTACATCAGTGGGGGTGGCTTCAGCAACATCTTCCCCATGCCCGAGTACCAGGTGAGGGACACCTGCGCTGCCAGGCTGGGGGCTGCAGACAGGGCTGCAGAGTTTGGGTTAGGGGATGACCGCGGGCTGTGCCGTCCCCAGGCCGCTGCTGTCAGGCAATTCCTGCGCTCAGCCTCAAAGCTGCCACCCAGCTCCTACTACAACAGCAGCGGCCGTGCGTACCCTGACCTGGCTGCGCTCTCTGACAACTACTGGGTGGTGACAAACCGCATCCCACTGCCCTGGGTGTCGGGGACCTCGGTAAGGAGCTCATCCCCCGCTGCCCTCCGGGATGGGGGCGGCCCTGGGCTGAGGGGTTCTGTCCATGCAGGCATCCACACCGGTGGTGGCAGGCATGGTGGCACTGATCAATGACCGGCGCCTGCAACGGGGGCTGGCACCTCTGGGCTTTCTCAACCCTGCTCTCTACCAGCTGCAGAAGCAAGGGCTTGGTGATGCATTCTATGATGTGAGTGGGGATGAGGCTGTACTGGGGGCTGAGGGGACTTGGGGTGTTCTGAAGTGTTGGTCTGAGGCCTGGGGTGGGCTTGTCCATGGGGCTGGAAAGGCCATGCATACTCCAAGGGCTGAGGGGGCTGTCTTGGGGCTCCTGCTCCCAGAGCTGTGCCTGGGGCAGGGCCAGCAGTGTCCTGCTGGGGGGCATGAGAGAGTCCCTATGCCCTTCTCATGGGAGCGGTGTCCTGGGGGGTCCCCATGGACTCCTGTGAGCTTTGTGGGGCAGGTCCCTTTGTGTGGCCAGGGCAGCAGTGTCCAGTGACTGCGGAGGTCCCAGGGTCCAGCTGAGCGTGATGTCCCACATTGCCAGTGTCCTGAGGGGGCAGGGGCAGCCTGTGCCACGGGGGGCGTTGTGGGGGGTCTCTGTGTCAGATATCTGGGGGTTCCTGTGTCCCGAGATTCCTGTCTCAGGGATGCCAGGGGTGGCTGTCCCTGGTTCCAGGGGGCTGTGGGCAGGGTCCCTGTGCCCATGGTATCCCTGTACCAAGTGGCTCCTGTGCCCCGGAGGTCGCTGTCCCGGGACTTTGGGGGGGCCCGGGGGGGGCCCCGATCTGCCGTGCTGAGGCTGGTCCCTGCAGGTGATCCAGGGCTGCCACCTGTCCTGCCTGGACGGCACCGTGCAGGGCCAGGGCTTCTGCGCCACCCCCGCCTGGGATCCGGTCACCGGCTGGGGCACGCCCAACTTCCCACGCCTGCTGCGGGCGCTAGGGCCGCGCTGACCAGGACACCGGGGCCGGACACCGGGGCCGGACACCGGGGCCGGACACCGGGGCCGGACACCGGGGCCGGACACGGAAACGCCGCGGAGCTGGAGGCGGGGGGGGGGGCAACAAAAAACCCAAGCCCCGC